TCTCTCTCTCTCTCTCTCTCTCTCTCTCTCTCTCTCTCTCTCTCTCTGTTCATGTAGAAGCCCTTGTTGCTGAAGGAGTATGCGAGGAGTGTGTGTTCAGTCTGGAGATGAGTGAGGTGGACACCAAGCCAGCAGAGGTTTACCATGGGTCGGAGCTGCAGTGCACTGTTGGTAGTCTGCTGCCTGGTGCCACATACAGCTTCCAACTGCGGGCTGCCAATGAGGCTGGGGTAAGAAATTCTAATGCACACACACACAGCAGGAATACAAAAGAAAAAGACGAGGTAAAAAAGACAAATTAGGGAGCGGGGAAGAGGGGTAATATTCCGATAAAGACTTACTCAGATAAATCTGATATTCTCTGGGATTAAAGTGGTAAATTTAATATTTTCTGAGATTATCAAGTCGTAAATTTGCGGAAAAAAAATCTGCTTTTTTTTCTTTTTGTCAAGGAACCACCTCGCTTCACCACAGGCATTACACACACTGCTAATGTGAGCAGCAGAGTGAAAAACAGTTTTAATTTGTTTTTTTAATTTTTCATGTGCAATCTTTAGTTTTTCTCGTAATATTACCCTCCTACCCCGGCACCATAGTTGAATCTTTTTTTTTTTTTTTAACTACAATAGGCCTAATTCCCTGCCGTAAAAAAGGCCGTAGAATCCACAAAAAAAATTATGAAACGGGAAACAAAGAACTTCGAGAAGTCAGCTTTTCGAAATGTATAAAAGTAATTCTTATTTTCCACTTTACAGGCTTGAGATTTTGTGTTCTCATGGAAATAAAATCTACTCGGCACATCGAGTACATCACCTGTGGAACCTCTTGATATTATCTCAATATAAAAAACTAAAAACCTCTCATTTGATTCAATATAAAATGTTTTTATCATAGCCACACTACCAGACACGCATAGATGCCGATTCCCAGGGCCTGTATCTTTTAGGTCAGAGTGTCCCAGACGGACTAACAGCAGCCGTGTTCCACAGCTCACATCTGCTTGGTTAGATCATCCACACACTCAAGAGTGAACTAGCTCTCAGACCTGCTAATTGAATGTAGGCACAAACTCAGCGCACACACACACTGAAAAATCGGTGGAACATGCAGAGTGCACCAAAAAAAAAAACAGCACTCACATGTACACACATAAACAGGCAACCCAGTGTGAATTGTGCTGCCCCTCCCGCCTGTGTCAGGCTCAACACATGTCTCATCCTGAATGCGGTGTCGCTTCCTCTCTTTTAGTTCGGAGCGTACTCTGAGCCGACAGAGGTGACGACTGCAGCGGGCCCTCCTGGCCAGTGCGGGGCGCCACTCATCACTCTCACCAGTAACACCTGCGTAACGCTCAACTGGGAGGTGAGACAAACACACACACACACACTGTATTCATCAAACGAAAGAACCAGTTTAATGAGCAAAGAAATCACAAGACAGACAGAAGGAGACAGAGAAGCCACATTTCCTAAAGCAGACTGAAGAGGCCCAACCTCCTTTTTTTTCTGTTACTACTGACCTAAAAAGCTGCTGCTATAAAAATGTGACTGCCTGGGCTGTTGTGGACAAGTAGACCCAGGAGTATTGTTTGTAGCAATCAAACTCATCCTGGATGATGCATCCACTTTAAAAAGAAAGCCTCCCTGTTTAATTGAATAAAGCCTATCTCTAGTAATATAACACCTTATTACCCCTCGGCCTGCTTTAATGTGGTTCTTTATTTATGGCAGTATTTTTTCCCCCGTTTCATTCCCTGAGCTTAGCGTGTGTGTCTGTGTGTTGCAGAGTCCCGAGGGTTCGGGCACAGACATCTCCGAGTATCGTTTGGAGTGGGCGAGGGAAGACGACCCCATGGAGCTCATCTACTGTGGAGCCGCCACACAGTGTGAACTGTCTGACCTGACGCCTGCCACAGATTTCTGCTGCAGGCTACAGGTAACACGCACAAATGTACAAACAAAACCTACTTGTGGGTAATAATGACAAGTATGCTTAAGTCCCAAACACACTGAAAGCAATAATTGACGCGCCTCTCATTTGACACATGCCAATTGACGCTCCTATGGCACGCTGCAGGCATCGGATTTGAAATGCCAACGCCACAGAACCAGCAGTGTTTCAGGAGAAGGTCGCTCTTGAGACAACATTTTTGTGTATTGATGATGCACCTTATCTTTTAAATTGTTGATGTGGTGTGATATGAATGAAAGTTAAACTAGGTAATGTGAAATTGGCATCACACGATCCGCTAAATGGAAGATGTACCATGCTGTTGGAGTTCTTTGGACTACAAAGTCCACTCGCTGTTGTACGGTGTTGTTGCAGAGTGACGCGTCTCCTGCCTCATAAACCATCTTTGTCCGAGTACAGTCACCTTCCTGCAGAGAGCACACAAACTGGCCATCAAGCTACAAATGGAGTTTACTTTAAGTAATGACAGCCGATGTGACCTAGGACCGGCGCCGTTTGTCACTGTAACCAGTGAAAGTGACAGTACTGGTATTATCATTAATTAACCATTTATTTCTTTTATAAATGATCGTCCTCTGGGGAGAAATCCATAGCTTTTTATTCATTTTAGCTGTCTTCAAACAGGTACAGCGTCTGCAGAACAAAACAGCTTTTTCCAGTTGCCAGGTTCTCATCTGACGCTCTAAAATCAGAGTAGAGGCGTCAAAGCAGTGTGACAACGCTTTTGGTTAATTTTCGGCCATTTAATACAAATAGGTGTACTTAAAAACGGGCACGTCAGACGCTTTCAGATCTTCGGGCCTTTATTCCCACCCCCACACACAGATTGACTGCATAAGAGATGTTTGCTTACAGGAAATAAGAAAGCACATACTCTGTACAGGACTAGAACACAGACACCTATAAAAACATACACATGAATACATCTGCAAGCTTGAAGGTTGATGATAATTGGTTGTATTTATGTTCTGACTCTTAATCGGGTGCATAAATAAGTGCTCTTTTTATCTGTGTATTTGTCTAACACACACACACACACACACTCTCTCTGGCCCTCCCCCCGATGCACCCTCTAAAGCTATGAATCCATTGACAGCATGGTTTATGACTCATTTCTTTATGGGCTCATTCATAGTTCAGAGGAGAGCACAAGGTCAGGTCAACCCAATGTCCTAATCAATGCGCTTGCGTGCGTATGTGATTTGTCTTTGTGCATTTCTGTGCACATGTGTGTTCATATGTGTAATAAAAAGACAGATGTGCCTCTCAAGAGGACTGCAAGAACAAACCACACAAAAAGCATCCACTTGGTTGAACTCTCTGTGACTCCTTATGTCCTGCACCTGTATGAGCCAGTGCAGTTTCGCCTACTGTAGCGTTGTGTCAAATCGGCATCGCCTGACATACCCTTGTTTTATGAGAACACTTGAAATGGCCAGACGCTCGCACAAGGATACAGTAGATAAAAAGTTTCTCACATTTCTTTGTCTTTCAAGTCTCACAAAAAAATATTTTACGCCTGAAGATGAATCAGAAAAACTACTGATATCTGGCTTTAGTACATTTTTATGCTTTGAAAATCCGGCTGATTTTAAAAAGCTGGTATGTTTTGTCCCGGTTTACTCCACGCTGAGTTTGAGGCATTGAAGTAGACTATTACAACTCAAAAGCGATTGGAGGACATTTAATAGAGGCTACTTGGGGTGAATATAAATGTGCAACACGGCACAAGAAATATACTAATGTGCTTTCACACAACTAATTTAAATTCAACTCCCTCCGCTGGTTTCCTTTTCTTGTTTCCGTTCTTTATGTCAGTTTTTACCCTCTGTTTTAATTGGTCTTGCTCTTTGTCTGTATCACTCTTTTAACCTTCATCTGTTTATCTTCGTTTTTGTCTCTCCACTCGTCCTCTTCTTTTTGTCCCTCTTTTACCGTCTTTTCTGTCCTCAAATTCCTCTTTTGCCTGCCTTATCTCCTTCATCATCCTCACCTGACTCTGTGTGTGTGTGTGTGTGTGTGTGTGTGTGTTTGCATCCACCTCAGGCGGTGAATCAGGCAGGTGCCGGTCCTTACAGCGAGCAGGTGAGTTTCCAGACCCCGGCAACGAATCCCGACCCGGTCTCCTCCATCACCCTCCTGGACCTCCCGACCTCCTCGGAGTCAGGTCACTCCCCATCTACCTGCTTCCTCCTGAAGTGGGACGAGCCAAACAGCAACGGGGCAGAAATCACCTCCTACGTCATCACCCTGGACGACCAAACCATCACTGTGGAATCAGGGACAAGTCACCTTGTCGCAGGCCTGCAGCCAGACAGCGAATACAGGTACTGTAGACATGCTGATGTGAGGCACATTCATGTTTTTCATTGGATGCAAAGTTTGTATTCATGACGATCAGCAAATCATGGGTTGACATTTTGACTTTCAGGAGCTACAAAACAAATACAAAAACATACTACCACAGAAATTAATTTTGTGCAGATATTCAATACTAAATAATGAACCTGCATTAACAGATCAACTGCAGCGGTTTCTAGATCTTTACTTTAGTTTAAAACAGCTGCCTGCAGCATTTTAAATCTATGCTGCGAGAACAAAAACAGTAGTTGCTGGCTGATGATGAAACATGATGAAATGCTCCGTCGAGCTAAAGAGACGGAGTGATAATTCGCTGGGGGTTCATCGCTGTGACCCTTTCACATTCTGCTACATATTTATCTGCTTGTAAATCATTTATATTTTTTTGGATTCATGATGGCGCCCCCTAGTTTAGCATTAATTTAACGCAATGCTGTTCAGTTTGTTGACGTAAATGGAGACCTTGTATCAATACCGCCAATCAAATCTTGCATAAAGGTGGTCACGCTGAGCCAGACAGAAGCCACGCAACACAAGAGCCACAGACTTCCACCAACAACCCACATTAGTCTCCCTCTTATCTTACTTACAGTAAAGACACATGTCTTATCCTGCACCGTAGCTTGTTGACCAAACGAAAATCCACCATTAAACGGCATGTAAATGTACCTGCAAATATCTCTTTGGTCGGGGGTTAGATGCTGGTGAGGTCTTTGCTCTTCAATACCACTAACTACTCGCTGTCTCTCCATGACATAAGATAACCCTTTATTGATGTAGGCTTAAGCACAATATTGTTTACTTTCTCTCTTGTTCCCGACAGTGTAACACATGAATATTAAGGAGCAAGTATATAGGAGGCAGTCGTTGTGTATAGTAGCTATAGCTTGTATGATGTTTGAGCAGTGATGTCAGGCCCTGTTTCACTCAAGCAACAGTAAATATTACTTTTACTCTTGTGTGTGTGTGCATGCGATTGTGTGTATGCATGTGATTGTGTAGTGCAGTGGTTCTCAAACTGTGGGGCGCGCCCCTCTAGTGGGGCGCAGCGGTATTGCAGGTGGGGCGCAGGGGGAAATGCAGAATTTTTTTATTTCAAGAACTTTATTCATACCTGCAAACTTGTCGCTTTTCGGCGAAATTCGCCGTTTTGAATCAAAATATATCATCCACGTGAATCGTGTAGATCCGTAGAGGTTTTTTTTTTGAGGGGGTCAACTGGCCAGCCAGCGTTTCTCAGATTGGAGAGAGACTTCGTGGACTGTTAACGTTCGTCATTATCACGATTTAGGAGGAAAAAACGTAACGTGATGAAACATGCAGCCCCCCCGTGTTCCGGTTCAGTTCACGCGGTCACTCGTTAACGTTAATTAAACCGGAACACCGGCACATCTGGTTGCAGGTTGTTTTTTTTAACTCAAAGTAGAATGAGGATGATTTCGTGGTCAGAATAACTTTCATGACCACGAAACATGAGGCCCAGATACTGATGAGATGATGAGGTCAAAGAGCTTCAAGGAGAGGAGGCTGTTTGTGTAGCGCAGCTTGACGCAGGGCTGAGCTGTGAAGGAGCTGGGCCTGCATAAAGGTGGAGGTGTAAACAGACGTGAGTACAGCTTCCCGCTGTCACAGTGTTTTAAATACATTGATAAGGCAGGGTATGCTAAATGCAGCCTCTGCTCCAAGGAGATAAAGTACAGCAACAAGGGCTCACATGCCCTCTCATCACTGACGGACACTGTTCACTGTAATGACCACAGCCAGTGTACTAACAGTCCCACGTGCAGTTAAATCACAGCTATTATTTTACTTTTAGAATGCTACATTTTAAAGCTCATATTTAAAATAAAATGCTCCCGATATGTGTGAGCATATGGCTCATTTTGTTTTGTTTTGCACAGGTTGCACGTTATTGTTGTTTTGAAAAGATATGCAGTGTAAAACTCTTTATTGCCAAATATTTGAACTTGTTTTGTTTAGTTTTTCACAGGTTGCACTTTATTGTTATTATCTTGAAAAGATATTCAGTGCAAAACAAGTGAATTGCAGCCACAATAAGCAATTTTTTGCCAAATATTAGTTATTTTTTGCACAGATTGAACTTTATTTGCATTGTTCTAACAAAGCGATTGCACATTGTATTTGTTTTTGTCTGATGGAGCAATCTGGTTTACTTGAAAGGGATTGCAATTTTCTTTATTCTATTATTGGAAAAAGCACAGATTGAGGAGTCGCAAAATGTTATTTCAATAAAAGTTCAACATGGACCATTTTGTTCCAATTTCGTTGGGGCGGTGGGGCATGAACATTTTTCTTCCTCCAAAGTGGGGCGTGACAGAAAAAGTTTGAGAACCACTGGTGTAGTGGGTTCTTTTAATTGGGGGGTGGAGTCTAAGGTAGGGTGACGTGTGAAGAGGCACAAGATCAAACACCATTGTTTTCATTCTAGGGTTGTTTTTGTCCCGATGTCACTCTACTATGTTGCATAACGGCTTACACAGAGGCAGAACACTGTGCATGCGTGCGCTCATGTACACCGGTGTGTGTGTGTGTGTGTGTGTGTGTGTGTGTGTATGAGGGTCTGCCTGTAGGAGTTCTTGTGTGTGGCAATTACGGTAATTCTGGTTGTTGTTTACAGCAGTGCGGGATACTCAAATAATATTATTCGTCTTTCATTTTGCGTGTATAGCTCTGGGAAGCACTGCAGCAAATGGTGTTTACTCTGTCGGAGTGGGACTGTGTGTGCTTCAGTGCAGGTTTAAAATGTCTTATTGTTGAGAAGTAATATTTAGACCTGTTTTTCCTCTGTCCGTACTTGGGACAACTGTCCCTAATAACAATAGTTGTACTTTCAAGAGAAACATAGTCATTTTGATATAGTCTTCTATGTTATAATAGTCCACCTTCAACTACCTAGAAAAGGATTTAGTTTTTTAATTTATCTTACAATTGCATTTCATGTTTTCACTGACTTCATAACCTTTAGGTCTCCAACAAGTGTGCAGAATTTAAAAAACATAACTGGCAGCTGATTTTTTTATTCAGTAATGGCTTTTTTTTCTCTCCAAATACAAGCTTTCACAGCCTTATGCATCTTCGCTCAACACCTTCACAGTCCATTACTAATGTTAAAGGTAGACACACTTTGAGAGGATAATTGTCACACATCATGGATTACAGATTCCCTAAAGTTGAAGTGCTAAGAAAGTGCGCTTTTAAACAGAGATGTTAAGCACAAAATGTAAATTTCTAACAAATATTTAAAGGAGACTTGTCACTAAAATAAATGTATTCGCAGGAAGGCACTTGCAAATTAGACCTTGTATTTACATTTGGCTAGCTGTCAATAACTTGAGCGTATGATGAGTGACTAGTTAGGGGTTTGAGTGTTTTGCTCAGCATGAGACATGTTTACCTCAAACCTAATGGTTGTATTGTGACCGCTGATGTACCACCTTTTGATCATCGTTTCCCTCGGTTTCCCTCATTTCACGATGAAACAAAAAATGCATCTATTCTGAACTTTGATATGTAAATCCCGAAATGACAAAATGTAATCCCTCATCATCAAAAGCTAAGATCCTTCGTCTGTCATTCTCTTCCTTCTCTATCCCTCACCTCATCTTTTAACTAGATGCTTAATTACCCAGCGGATGGATGGAAAGCTGCCCTTTCTCATCGGCTCTCACTCAGCTGCATGAATTACAATAAAAGGTTACAGTTACAGAGAATCAGCAATTAAATGTCAGACGGTGGATGCTCTCTAGCCGAGGGCCTCTGATATGGATGCTAATCAGCTGGTCATACATTGGCAGAAAAGGGGTGCGGAAGGGAGGGGGATTCCGAGAAGAAAGGCAGCAGGGGGTTTTGAAAAAACAAAAATCTATTTCTGGAGATTCATTTTAATTAGTAGTAGATCTGCATGTCCCCGTTTGTGTGTGTTTGTGTGTGTGTGTGTGTGTGTGTGTGTGTGTGTGTGTGTGTGTGTGTACGTGCATTTTAGTATCTCTTATGAATCATCAGAATCAGCTTTATTGGCCATGTATGCGTACGTATACATGGAATTTGACTCCGGTTTCCACTTCGCTCTCGACACAAATTTACAATAAACAAAAAAAAAAAATATATATATAAAAAATAATAAAGGGCAGCAAAAAAAACAAAACAGATGTAGGTATAAACATTTAACAATATGTGCAATATAAGTATAAACATATATCCAAAAAGTATATACATATGAACATAAACCTATAAACAACAATGGCAATGGAATTGAGGTGATAGTGCAAGTAGTGGTAATAGTGCAGACAGAGGTAGTAGTGCAGTATGACTGATTAATTGTTCATCAGGGTAACGGCCAGCGGAAAGAAGCTGTTCCTGTGTCTGGTGGTTTTGGCTTTGGTTTTTGATACAGTCAGGAAAAACATACACACTCAGAATTTTCTCTGTCGACTTTTTCTGGATTGGCTTTTTGGCAACATAAATCAAAAAATAGATTTCTGTTGCTTGGAAAATGATTTTCAAACAGTAAATCTTGTAAAACCCTCTGCAGCAGCGATTGCTTTTTTCATGAACACAACTATATCTGGATGAAGGGAAAAGTGGGCCAACAAGTCCAGACATATTTAAGTCTCATCCTGGAGAGTACATTGACTTGTAATGGGGGAATGGTAGTGGGCGAAGAAATTGCAGACGAATCCGAGGTTAAAGCTAACCAGCAAGATCAGCCTCTTCACTGAAAATGACTGCACCACCACCATTACATACACACAGTAAGAACACACACATGGTTACGTAGTAGCCTATATGTACACCCAGCATTTATGTACATGTTATTTTGGCTTGTGAACTTAACATCTGCACACAACATACGTGGTGCGGTAACACCATTTCTACAGTTCCGAAAATATCAATCAATACATGTGAAATGTCAACTTTATCTCAGGGATTTTCAAAGTGACGTTCTGTAACGAACAATTCGTAATCTGTCTTGCAGTGTACATATCCAGGCGGTGAATGCCATCGGCTCCGGTCCCTTGAGTCCACCCCTGCTGGAAAGGACTCGCCCCCTCCCTCCAGCCCCGCCCCCTCTTGAATGCTCGGCGGCCGGCCCTCAGAGCCTGAAGCTGAAGTGGGGGGAAAACGCCAGCAACACGCACACCCGTGCCCTGCTCGCCGACGACATGGTCTACACACTACAGATGGAGGACAAGAACCACAGGTGGGCTGGCAGGCACACTAATCTATACCGCTCTTATATCGTTGTTTCCCTCGTGGTGTAGACCGAGAAGGGGTCCATCTTGCTATATTCTAGGCCACGTAAAGAAAACGTCAAACATCCAAAACGTACACATCAATGATGAACAATTAAAGCTTACATTTCTGCATTGAAGAAATAATCCTAAATTGTGTTCACACTGTACATACAAATCATCGTTATGCTACTAAGTCATTCACAGCAGCTCCTGTATGCCCCACACCCTCTGCATTACTTTAAAAATAATGAACACACTTGGAACGTTTACGTTTAGAACTGTGGGACTCAAGATGAGTGTATTTCATGTATAGAGTCTCAGCTACGAGCGGGAATTGAAACTGTGATTGTGAGGACCTCTTTAAACCTCACAGCCGCCCTGCGCACCACATTACTCAGACTGTTCAACCCACAGCTAGTCAATACAGCAAATAAGACCCCAGAAGGTCAATACTACATACACACTCACACAAACACAAGATGGACCGAACATGAACAGCCTGGGAGAAGATGAGGGAGCTTGTGTGCCTGAATGCCTAGTTAGAGGTACGTGTGTAGGTCCTGCGTGCGTGCGTGCGTGCATGCGTGTGTGTGTGTGTGTGTGTGTGTGTGTGTTGGTTTATGCAGTAACCAGATGTACCCACGAATAGTCACGTTGAGGGCATCTGGAACCAGCTGCGATGCAGCCTCCAACAATCAACCGACTCATCAGACAGGTGTGTCAGATAGAGAAACAGGGAGACAGAGTGGGGGAGAAGGGGGAAAGGGCAAAACATAATCGCTGACAGGGAGTGAAACACATAATTGGAAGGAGGGCAGAATCTTTTATACATTCACGCAGAAATAACAAAGAGGATTAGGATGGAATAAGAAAGGCACGGACAAAGAAGAAGGTAACAGACCAAACTCAAAAGCAGTTAAGAGCCACTTTTATATACCAGCCCGTCTGCCCACCTGTCGGTTTATCTCCCTCCGTCGAGCCCTCTACCATTCTGGTTGGCCAGCTATCAGTGTTTGAATTAAGGCTTGGCTGGCATCAAGTTGGCACCCCTGGAATGGTAACCTTTCCGACACACACACACAGAGGCATCCCATGTACGCTGGCATAAACACACTCCCTGCCAGCCAAATGATAAGAGCTTTCACAGTTTAGAGAGGGTTACTCACCCTTTTCTAACTGGCACAGTGATTGGTATGGCAGTATGCTAGTCAGTGTGTGTTTCTGTTTCAGTGACAGTGCTTGCACGCACTTGTGTATGTCTACGGTATTTTGATCAGATGGTATTTTGAGGGAAACTTCCCTGCATATGCTGTAAATTGAAGAAAAACATTTGCTTCTTCTGATTTTATGATTTTTTTCATGCTTCACATACACCGGGGGCCCCATACAGTGGGCGACTGTGGCTAAGTGGATAGCAAGGCCGTCTTTAAATCAGAGGGTCGGCGGTTCAATCTCCGGCTCTGCTAGTCGCATGTCGATGTGTCCTTGAGCAAGACACTTAACCCCAAAAATTGCTCCCGTAGTTGTGCCTGCGGTATAGAAATGTGATAGAATCTGAATTGTAAGTCGCTTTGGATAAAAGCGTCTGCTAAATGACTGTAATGTAATGGTTAAAACAGGCAATGATATTCTGGTATCCGCAGTCAGTCCAGTTGTCATGGTACCGCTCCCTTTTCTTTATGCTCATCATGGAAACGACAGAACGTTGGTCAAAGTTGTAAATGTAAATGTAAATATTTATAGAAGATTTAAAACAACAGTTGAACAAGGTGCTGAATAGCATCAAAATAGCAAATAAATGAAGAAAAAAGTAAATAATAAAATAAAACAATAAACATAAGAATAATAACAATAAAAGAATTGCAGCACAATAGAGGATGAAGTCAATGTAACACACTCAACTTGAATTGAATGCCATTGAGAAGAAGACGTAGCAGCGACGTAAAGGTTTCCAGGTCTGAGCAGCTCTTACATGAAGAGTAGGAAAGCTCTTCCAGAGATTAAGGGCAGCCACCGCAAAGGATCGGCCGCCTCTATTTCTGTCCCTGAATCTCGTAACATCAAAGAGCATCTGGTTGGTCGGCCTCATTGTAAAAGCATCAATTTTACTGTATATATTCAAGGAAAGCAATGGACCTTGGTGAATTTTCACACTTCAAGATTTATTTGGATAGAACTGCAGGTCATTTGTTTGGTATAAATGATAAAGCAGCATCTCCACACAGCCCCAAAAACACAAACATCATGTCACTCTCTCCTCTTCATCGCCCTGAGGATACTGTCAATAAACTATAATTGTGTAATTGACTGAATTACCCATAATGACCATGTGTGATTCCTGACGTATTCAACTTAATTGCCTTTGCTTAGGATTCATCACTTGCAGCTACCGGTGGTTGTGGCGGGGCGTTTAGGTGCGTTAGCGGCTGCATTAGTGCCGTGTGTGCAGAGGGTTAACGACAGATGAATGGATCGAGCTGGTTTGCAGGGCTCCCCTTCCTCCCCCTCCTCACACTCTATTAGGGTGAATTAGCAGGACGTTTTTGATGAAATTGCCGTGGCAACCAGATGCTTCATCGCTAATCATAATGTATCAAGGGAGATTGCAAGGGCATTTTGAGGAAAAGCAAAGGATCAAATCTTTAAATTGCTTTGAAAGCAAACTTATTAAATAGCCAGCTGCAATTTCGGCAAATATAATTTCACATTCGGACGTTAAATTCCATCAGTGTCGGTTTTTTTTTTTTCAACCAAATAGCATTACTATGTATTTATGTCTTTGACATTGGCTGTCCCCGACTCTGTCTCTTGCTGGAATCTCGTTGTCTCTGGACGATCTCATTCATATTTATTCATCTCAATTTATTGTTAGAAAGGTGACTTCACCTCTGGAGGATCTCGAGAGAAATGTGTGCCCCCTTTCCTGCATTTTATCCCTCCCACCTCATCTTTCACCCTCTTTGTTTTTCTCCCATCCACCCTGCCACGTCTCTGTGGTTGTATAAGATGATAATCAAAGCTGTTTCCTCAGGTTCCCTATATTAAATCCCGTTCTCCCTCTCCGTCCCTCTCCGTCCCTCTTCCTCCCTCATTCGTCCACTCTTATCTCCCTGTATGCAGACTTGTTGCTTGTGTTCTGTCCTCCCTCGCTCATGGCTTTTATTTTATTTTCTTTCTCATTTTGCCCACTCTGTTGTTGCCCTTTTTAAAAGCTTTAAGCTTTCAAGTTTGTTTGATTTCAAAATACCTTCTGACCGAGGTTCTGGAAATATAAAGGCGCCATGGCAACCCAGGCAGTGCAGTGCGAAGAAGGCTTAAAGCTTCTGACGTTGTATTCGAATGCAGGTGGAAGCACAAGGCACTGTAGGGCAAAGCTCTGGTTCAGTTGCTGTTATTCATAAGAATGAGACAGCCATACATCTATTGCAATGTCTCACCCATTTGTTTACTTGTTCGTCCATCTTCGTCATTTGTCCGTCCCTTCATCGTTGCATCCGGTCAATCCGAAAAAAAGGGATGGCGACAATGTCTGCTCTCTGTCCTCTGCTCCTGGCTGTGGTTGATCAGTCGGCTCTTTGGCTCAGGACGGTTCCTCTCGTTAACTGTGGTCTGGTGATTTGTGTGTGTGTGTGTGTGTGTGTTTATTGTCTTTGCTCTGCTGAGTGTTAATTGTTTTTGATGAGGGAAACTTATAATGATGGAAATGTTGAAATATTTACTGTTTTTATGTAAGAATTTGTCATTTACGTATAGCCATGTGGTAGTTTGAGTCTAGAGAGAGGAAAAGGAGAGACTCGGATCTCTTCAAGGTGTGATTCATTAAAGACTTATGGACCATCAGTTCAAGACTACAGACCATTACTCAGCCGGGATGCTACACGTAGTATTAATTCTATCACCGCTGGGTGTCTGCCGGTGTTAAGACAGTGAGGCAAAGGATTAACAACAACATCATACATCAGCCAGAGAGACGCATCACTTCTCGCTAGTGCAGCTACATACTGCACTAGCGACAAGGCGTCTCTTTCCTCTTCCAGTAGATCCTCCATCATCATCTCCGCGTTATAATTACCAGTCACCTCGCTTTTTATCCTCCTTTATTTCTCCACTCCCTCACATCTGCTTCTGACTTACTCCCTCCATCACTGCCTCCTCTTCCCACTTGCCCCGTCACCTTTGTCTCTCTCCCTCTCTCTACTCCCTCTCTGCCATAAACCTTCGTCGCACGGACTTTTACCTTACTGTGCTGAAAAGCTGATAGCGGAGATATATAACCACCTTTTCAGCTCAAATCCTCATTTCTCTCAGACTCCCTCATTCACTCACTTATCATCTCTCTTTCATTCCATCAATCTCTCCATCTAGCCAGCCAGAAAGCCTTTTTTTGTGCTAGATGTCATTAGACTTGTGACTTTGGCCTGTCAGTCCTGTGTGTCTTATAAATCACTGCTATCTTTGTTGGGATGCATTCTCCTCTCTTCCCACCAGCATCCTCGTTTCTTTTCAAGGTCTCAACTAAGCAACAACAAAGGAAGTACCAAAAACACTGTGATATATAGATGTATATACATAATGGTTCAGCCTGCAATGTAAGGCCCCCATAACTGTTAATAAGCACAGCTGTGATGAGTCATTGAAAAGTGGAAAATGCATCAATCCGTTTGGTGATGAGTGCAATCCAATTATCGATGCCTCATCCCTCACTGCTCTTGTTATCCAAGTTATTAACTGAATTTCTCTTCACCTCACTCCTCACCTTCTCCCTTATCTTTCACTCTCTTTTTCATCCTGTTCAGGTTTGTCTCCCCTTTTCTTCTGTCCTTCACCTCTTATTCCCAATTACAGATTCGTCCTCTAGATTTGTGATTCATTGTGTCTTTCTTGCTCTTTCTTATTCTGTGTGTCCAGGTTTGTGACGATCTACCGCGGCCCCAGCCACACCTACAAGGTCCAGCGATTGACTGAGTCGAGCAGCTACATCTTCAGAATACAGGCCATCAGCGATGCAGGGGAGGGTCCTTTCTCTGACACACTCACCTTCTGCACCACCAAGTCTGTACCACCTGCCCTCAAAGGTAAACTGACGCAGGCAAAGTGTGCGTTTGTCTCATGGTTTGTGTGTGTTTTGTTGCTACATGGATGACGCCAGTGCAGCTATCTGTAAATCCATCACACACGTTTGTGTATGAAAGTCCTTTCTTTGTTCTTATTAGCTAGTTTCAAACTGTAAAATAAGACCTTAAGTTAAGAAATGTCTTAGCGTGTGAGACTTTAGCACTGTGTAAATTGATTGTCAGGAACCCTCTGTTGCACCGTCCAATCAAAAGAATGCTCTTCATAAACAGGAAGTCACAGTAGCATCACAAGCCGTTCCATGACTTCCAAAAATGACTGTTTTAGGGCGGAATCAAATACATTAAGCTTAACTGCTAATCTTTTGTAAATGTAGGTATTATTTAGTTTGCTTATAAGAGCATACATGGACAAATGTGTGTTTTTCAGAGTTCATGTAGTTCTGAATGAGGGAAATATCAGATTCTGCTAACCTATTTTATGCTATTTGGTCATTTAGTGTGACGTTTTTAGCACAAAGCTAAAACGTTGAGTCCTTGAGGGTATGTTGTTATATTTGTGAAATTTACCTTTCATTTTTTCAAGTGTCAGGTCAAATGTGTCGACCATAATGCATATTTATAACTCTTTTACTCTAGAAGGATCGTACAGTGTAGTGGCAACCTAACGTTAACTTCATCAGTCGAGTAAATTAGCAGTTAGCCTCCACCTGTCAGTGGGTGTAAATATTTAGTTTCAACCAATATCTACATAATAGGTTTGTGTTGCGCAACCCAGTTTAATTTAGTATTTCATCAATCTCCAGCTATATTATAAGTAGACCAAGTTTCAACTTTTGAAGCGCTGTTGCATCTGGCTCCGGCAGTTTAGGAGTTACACTGAACGGCCCCAAAGAGGTGATACACTTAGAGGAGAGGAAAAGGCAATCCATTAGTTCCTGGTTGGCTGTTGCTTGATTATCGCCTCCAGTATGTGGTGTTTGCTGTAAACTGAGAGGCTGTGGCTGATTATACCGACAGTAATCGCAGTGAGGAGTATCCTCACAGGTGATATAAACGGAAAGTATTACGGGTTTGACTGTGATGCTGTGAATATGCAGCACAGCATTGATGTATCCATTAAACAGGCAAATGACAGCCTCAGGGGTCCAGACAGCTTCTATAAAACTGTTCGCATGGTGCTTGTGCACTGTCTGAACTGTTCTCTGCAAAGCCCCTTCTATTCACAACAAAAGCAGGATGAGTCGAGACAACTCAATGAATAGGTCTCTGGTTAAAGTTGAGTCAAATGTCTGCTGTATTCAGCAAAGCAATTCATGCAGTCAGAATTGGATTATTGTGGTCGCTCAAGGATATTATTGCTTTGCCAAACTATTATAAACATTGTCAAAAAGAATTATTGTCCGTGAATAATCTATTCACTTTGTTGTCGTTTATTTCCAGGATGATGAGCAGTACCTACTCAGTTTAGTCTAAACAGCTGTTAACAGGACTGCTCATTAGATTCTAAGGGGTGCTAGTCTTAATTGACTCGGCCGGCTGTGGCTCAGGGTAGGAGAGGTCACCCTTTAATCACTAGGTTGTTGGTACGATCCCCCGCCCCTCCTATACGCTTTACATCAGCCCACTGATCCTAAATGCTTAGGTTGGTTTAAATACAAAGGTATTTTTTTCATATATGTAGTGTGTGTGACAATGAAAATTAAAGTTGAGGTATTTTAGGTTTAAATAGCTGGTTAGAAATTACTGCGGAAAGTCTGAATAATTGGTTTATATGGTATTACTTTTCTAACTATGAAACCCTGTCACGCATTTGAAATCATGTTCTGGTGGCATTTATCCTGACAGCTCCCAGAGTGCACCAGCTAGAGGGGAACATGTGTGAGATCACATGGGAGACCATCGCACCAATGAGAGGAGATCCTGTCAGCTACGTGCTGCAGGTGCTGGTGGGACGCGAGTCAGAATACAAACAGGTTTGTCTCACACAGACTCACTCACACACACACACACACACACTCGGGTCATTTGAGGATCGTGTTGAGAGCTCCTGTGTCTCTGTAGTCCAGAGCACACGCTTCAATAATTTGGTTCATTCTTAAAGTTGTGGAAGTGTGTACGACTACTGTGAGGATATTCTGTAATCCTCCCCGAGGAGCAGAAAAATTAACTTTGCATTGATGGGGAAGGCGTTACAGAGCACTCGACCGCCCACACACTGAGAGACAAATTTGCACATTGAAGAATGAAACACACACATACACGGTGTCTTCCCTGAGAGATAGAGAATTCTGAAATTGAAGGTAATTGCAGTGCCAGCAGTATTTATTGAATGGTTTTGAAGGATTTTAATGAGAATAACAACAGAAATAACTAAAAAAAACGTTTTTGGCTACACAAATATCAGATTGAGTGGCTGGCAGTTGGATAAATGAGCAGACTGGTGGACTCCAGACAAAGAAAGACATTTGTCTTCAGGGATGTTTCCTCTCCATTGTTCAATTAGTGAATGGTTGGAGGGAGGAACTGCTGATACTTACCAGCGAACAAAACCGTGTGTGTGTGTGTGTGTGTGTGTGTGTGTGTGTGTGTGTGTGTGTGCACGTGGGGATGTGTGATGTGTATTGGCTCATTTCATTACGTGTACAAACATCCGCTGCCAATACAAATCTGTGCTGCTGCTTTTCAGACGTTTGTATGTTTCACTCGCCGTTTGTTTCTCCCTTTTGTCTAATCTTACGATGAATGAATGCGCGCACACACACACACATGCATAATGCTGTTTTATTTTGCAAATTTAATTTATGAATAAAACAATCATTTGAAGGCGTTTTTTCATTTAGATTATATTATAGATTTCCCATGACAAACAAGAAAGACGGCACAAGGACATAGCTGTGATTTGCACAAGCGTGACTACCTCCTCACAACCATTCCAGCATAGGCCTGAGAGGGTTTAATCTATCTTTTTGAGTATAAAGGGGGGGTGGGGGGGGTTCAATTGCATTACCCTAAATCTTACACTTGGACAGTTATACCGAGTTCCACCAAAACAGAAGTTGGGCGAGCGAGATACCCAGGTCTTACTCCCATCTTTTCTCTGCTGAACATTGCTACAGGAGAAGGAAAAGAGAATAACTTTATATATGTCTGAAACTATTCTCATCGGCTGCCTACATTCCTTTTTAACCATTTGTTTGGTCTCACATACAAAAAACAAATTCACTGTTCTTGCTCAGTGTCAAGTCAATTTAGTTTAATTAACCCAATATCACAAATTTGCCTCAAGGGGCTTTGCAGTCTGTTCAGCATACACGCTGAAATAGCAATGAAAGAAACCTCAGGCAGCAGAGAAGGCAACCCGTTTCCAGTACTAATATAATTGGTGCCTGTGTGGAGCAGAGTCAATGACCAGCGTCTACATTTTTTTTTTTTTGATCATCGGCTTCTACAGGCTCGTACAGCTACGAGCCACTTCCAATGACTTTTCAGAATAGAATTATAACAGGTATACATGTTGTGCTTCTTCAGTTACAAAATGAACAAGAAGTTGATTTATATTGAATTTGATACCGGGTCCTTTAGCTGTCATTGCATTATAATAGTATTGTCATTTTATGAGCCAGTCTCGGGAGTTATGTACGAGAAACGAGCAAATATAGATTCATCGTCTTCCCCGAGGACATTTCAACAATACAGACGGGCAGGTTTTATTTAACTAATACTCAAATCTGCAACCTTTTATATCTGTTATATTTTCATAGTGAAGTGGTTTTCAAGTTTGGTTTATTTGTATAGCTTTTGTGCACCATTATAATACATTACAGTCATTTTTTTATCCAAAGCGACTTACAATTGAGATTCTACCACATTCATATGCAATTTTGGGGTTGAGTGTCTTGCTCAAGGACATGCAACTAGCGGAGCTGGAGCCGGGGATCGAACTGCTCTCCACTGAGCCACAGTCGTCCTTAATAGAAAATAATTAAGTTCCAATAAAATATGTCGATAAGCAAGAAGAAGTCAACAGAAAGTTCTTTATTTATTACTTCCCATAACGAGCAGCAGATAAAACTCTTAGCAGCACTTGAGTAGATGAGCGGTGAAAGTAACATTTCATCGGGAGAGGGACACAATCAGCCAGGTGTTGCAAATATTAAGCATGTTCGATAAAGGGAAAACACCACATTGAGGCATGAAAGTTCAGATTTGTACTTATATATATTTTTAAAACACTACAGTATGGCTAGATGTGTATGCCCATAACTTGACCGGCACCAATTTCCTTTGTAAATGGGCACCTGCTGAGAGCTTCAACATGTTTACACTATGAAAACAAGCAATCGTATGTCACTGTGACCCAAGCAAGCATGCAGGTCTCTGTTCCAACGAATCACCAACCAACTGTGGCTGTTGAACATTCTATCTATCTCTCCCCTCGCAGGTTTTTAAGGGAGAGGAGGGCATGTTCCAAATTTCTGGTCTCCAGGGCAACACAGACTATCGTTTCCGCGTGGGCGCCTGCCGCCGTTGCCAGGATACGTGCCAGGAACTCTGCGGACCGCTGAGCCCCTCGTCCTTGTTCACGCTGCGTCGCCAGGAGACGGCGTCATCGGGGGAGCCGTGCGCCGTCGAAGCGGGCAAAGGCGCGGGCCTGATCTCGAGCGATGAGCGCTTCGCGGCGCTTATTGTGTGCGTGTTCGCGGGGTTCTCCATTCTCATCGCCTGCTTGCTACAGTACTTCTTCATGAAGTGAGGGAATTTTAACTATAGGATAGAAAGAGAAAACAAAATCACAGAGAAACTTTTAAAAATACGTCTACGAAAGAACCGAATGAAATCAAAAAGAAACACTTGATGTACTTCTTACAGCTATGTATGGTTGGTTTTTTTTTTAAGTCAGATTATCGATTCTGGCTTTCCTCACCTTGCTCCTGTTGTCTTCTGCCATCACTCAGTTTGGTGTCATTTCTCTCTACGTCTCTGTTGTCTTCGTGTCATTGTCCGTCTCATCTGTTAAGGATTTCTGTCGAGGTCTTAGTTGTACCTCGGTTGGGAAAGAAAACTGATAATCAAGCCTTAAAATAGCTTTGAGCAAAGCAGTTGCTCCTCAGACTGACTTGCATGTTTTTATCGTGTATCTTTTTAAAACATATTTGATTAGAGAACGTGTATATTTCTTGACAGTCATTGCCTTACATTTGTTTTTGTTTTTCAATGTGTAAGTTTCTTCTTTTTTCTTTTTTTTTTTGCTGCAGTCTTTATTCATTTCAGCCATATTCCAATGTAGGCCGACAAAGCTTTAGCCGTTCATACCTTATTCAGTTTTCTACTACTACAGACTGTCAGTCAATTCATATCGGCTAAGCTTTTAACATTCAATCACTCACTCATTCAGCTACCAAAGTGATGCAATCCATGTGTGGTGTAAGATGCTGCTATCCTGTGATTTTATTATATCTAAGAAAGAATGGAAAACCAGTAATCTAATATATATATATACACAATATAAATATATATATATACATATATATATACATAAATATATATATATATGTATATATATATATATATGTATATATATATATATATATATATATTATAACAAATATCTATGATGCTATAAAAGTGATGTAATATAAATGATGGCAATGTAAGGTCTGAAGTACAGTATGAAAGGGGAGGAGTTTACTCTAGGTGCTTACAAACAGCAGCTCTGCGGCCAGTTAAGTAGCTCGAAGGAGCCCCTTTAACACTGGTCTCTGATCAGAATATGAAATGTTGGGCATGAACTGGCTCTAGCGCGTAGGAAGCCGGGCTGGGATTGTGATCGGCTGCAACTTAACAGGAAAGGGTTGGGCTCAGCATTTGATTGACCCCCTCGGACGGCCCTTCCGCATTCTACCATCTCAAGCACTATTGCTCCAGCCTATTTATCTGTAGCTTTAGTAGCGTTGAACCCGCTAGACCCAGAGGTGCTAACAGCCTGCCAGCTAGCCGCGCTTCTCAGAGCTCTGTGTGTTAACCAGGAAAGCCATTAGGAGTTAGCTTGAGCTTTACCCCCCCCCCTCCCTGGAATTTAGCCAGCCAGAGCAGTGCTGAAGCTGTAGTTTCTCCTTCCAGCTAGTCTGTGAATCGATACATTTGAAGACTCTTCTCCTCTTTCCTCTTTTCTCCTCCCCTGCCCATAATGATCTGTAATTACTGTTTGCTCTGGCTGCTCTTCTCTTGCTTTCGATCCATCTCATTTTCCTGCCCATGCACTTCTCTCTCTCTCTCTCTCTCTCTCTCTCTCTCTCTCTCTCTCTCTCTCTCTCTCTTAAAAGGTGCTTTATTGACATGTAATCAGAGCAGTAGCAAGTCTGCGGTCTCTCCTCAGACGTACATGTTCTCTGGAGACTTGAACTAATGTTCACTAACCAAACAAGCCTTTGACAGAACACAACTCAACAGAACAGGGCATTCTTAACACCCCCTGACCTCCCCGCCTGACTCCTGAACCCCCTTTCATCCCAACCCAAAAAAACAAAGCAAAGGTACAGCCCAATACATACCCTGATGATCCAAAGAAGTCACCCTAACCTGCTTGATTAATGTGTGACATGTCTACAATTGTCAGGTGGGATGCAGGGGAAGAAGGATTGGGTGGGAAGGGGGGTATGAGGAGTGGCGGGGCAGTAGTTTAGCGCCGCCGGCCAGCTCTGATTGGCAGCCTGTAACGTACCTCAGGGATAAGGCCTTACAGAGGGGAGATCTAACCCTCTCATCCCCATCGCTGTCGTCATCCTATTAGCCTCTCCTTCCTCCGTTTCTCTCTGTCTTCCTCCCTCACTTCTATCCGTTCTTTCATTTTTTTGATGCTGTATCTTGTCCTCTGTCATTGCTGTGCCTTGCTCCTGTATGTGTCGGTAAGCAAATTGGTTTACTAGCTCAACAAACCTTTGCCAAAGTTGATGGGAAAGTTAAGGTAGAGTTCTTTTCTAGGTTTTATTTATACTATATATTTGCATACAGTACTTTACATGCCAATTACAGTGCAATCTTCATTTATTTATTGTTTAAAGATTAAGAGACAAGTGTAGTTATATACTAATTTTTTTCCTTGTAGCATGTTTTTTTCTTTTTCTTTTTTTTTTAATTGACGTATGTTAGATTGTATGATTAAGGCCAGCATTCCTTATCTCAGTAACCCTTTAAGTATTTCTCTTACAGCTGTTGGGAACCTGTAGCTCATCAGTCCATGCATTGCAGTTATCATTGCCGTTTAAAAACATGTAACCAAATGTATTTTGTTTTTCATCTCCTGTTGCGGCCGTGCACAGCCGAGCAGTTCTTGTAATGCTTAGAGAGACATGTAGCAAAGCAAGGCCTTAGGGTCAGTTCAAGTCATCTGTATTGGGATAAACGTCGCTTCCTTTGGCTTTTTTTTTTCTGAGTAGTGTTATAATGAAGCTTCTGATATCTTTTTACTGTGTTATTGCCAAAGTGCAGGCTTCTCGTGTCCACTAGATGTTGCGTTTGCAGTCGTCTAAAAGGGTTCTGTGATGTTCTTCTGTAACTACACAGCATTATGATTATTATTGTTATTATTATTCTCTCAAAAGGAAAAAAAAAAAAAAACATTAACTTGATCTGTGATTATGCTTCTTTTCATATTATCTTTTATTATTTTTTTTTTGTAAAGCAAAATGTGCCATTTTGAAATGTAGCCCCTTTCAAAGGACAGTTTTTAACACAACCTGATTTCACACTGAAAGGTAAAAAAAAAAATTTAAAAAAAAGGCAAAAACAATCATACGGCGATTTCAGGCAGATGATGAGAACAATAATTCTACCGATTCCTTGTTCAGGCTAGTGCTGGTATAGCAGTAGTTAGTATTTTGTATCCAGTATTTTGCTAAGAGATGATATACAGAGATATCTATAGAGCTATAGAATGAGATGGTAATACATTATGACTAACAGAGTTGAAGCACTTTTTTTATGCCGAGCATTAGTCTTGATGAGGTTAATATGAGCGAGGGGGAACGCGAGGTCCATCGCTCTGTTCCAAACACTACTGCCAACGCCGTCTGTTACATTCATTGGCATTATTCTGTCGTTGGCGTCACTGTGACATTGGCATTACTGGAGCATGGTTCTGTGCCTTTTTAGATGGCACCCTGCTGCCTGTAGAATGCAAACTACGGCAACAAAGGAAGTACAGTTCATAGGGAGTACGGTTTTCCTTTCTCAGACGTGCTCTCGGTGTGTGCACCCAGCCTGTTGCTTGTAGTCGATATGTGAGGTGTCCTGTTTTGAAACCCTTCATGTAATGTCGCCCACTCACAGCCCCCCCCCCCCCTTATTCCCCATTTCAGGCCGTAAATGCTCCAACGGGAGAGCAGAGGTCTTTGTCCGAGCTCAGGCTAGTCACGTTAGTGTTGTATAGTCCGAGGTTAACACAGTGTTAACTGTTAAGGCTGTGTGTTCCTGGGCAGGGTACTCCCTTTATGTGCTTTTTTTTTTTTTCCCTTTTTTTCTTTTTTTAAATGCTGGTGATTTTAAAGAAGCCCCGCCCCTTCACCCCACACCTTGCAGCTCCTGCACATTTGGCTTGTATGTCAAGAATGAGACCTTTTTTTTTTTTTTTGCCCAGCAACCCCACGTCTGTGCCTTCTGATCAATTGATTTTCTTCTTTACTTTTTTTTTTTTTTTTGTACGTTTTAGAGTAAGTAGAGAATTTTGACCGAGAATTTGGCGATTTGACAAACAGACGCTCACAGGTATTTAACTATTTTTTAAGCGAGACAAAAAAGAAACGTATTTTTACCTCACGATTTAAAAGCAAACATTCCAATGTTGTCAAGGTCTACGAATTGAGAAAAAAAAAAGAAATTCATGCATTTCTTCTTGTATTGTAAATGTTAGACATTTTCATATGCATTATATAAAAGAAACTGCCATATCAATTTTAATGTATAGATTTTTGCAAATACTACCCTATGTATGTAAGACGTAACTGTATCGGTAGCGTATATATAATATATTTATGCCCAATAAATGTTTTGATTTTCTTTTCTGACTTTGTAGCACCTGTATGTTTTATTGTGTGTGTCATTATTCATCAGCACTTCTACCTACTGTATGCATGGCTCTACGTATAGTTCTGTGCATGGTCTCATGCTTTTTTATGGTTAACTTTTCTACAGATAAAGATACTTTGTCACACGAGATGTTTGGTATACAAACTAACGGTATGTTCCCCTGACATTTACTGTTGTGCAGCAGTATTGATTTTTGTCTTCAAGATTCATCAGATACACCTTTATGTACTGTTGAACACAGCTGAGTAGTAACCAAGATTTATAGTATAGAGGTTTAACTCATGATTAATAGTCCGAATTATGTCTCAAAACAGTTGTAATTCTTCAAGTGGATGGCATCTTAAATGTCAGAGGGACTCGTATATGTAATTAAAGATAGTTTTATCAATTATCACACTCCGTTTCAAGGATGAGTGCGTTAGTGTCCATTTCAGCTGGACTATCGGTGTGAAGAAGTGTCGGAGCTAGATTTACTCTCCCGTGACTTCGAGGGTCGAGAAGAGTAAATCACACTCACGACCGTCAACTGCTGTCAGCAGGGGGCGACCAGAGAGAGTCTGCTGCTCTGCAATTCCCCTCATCCTTCAGCGACACGAGGACAACAGGGGAATAATGCTCTTTGACCTTTTGTGTGAGCATTCGCACGGGTTTGCGGAAAAGTGGTGTCAAAAGTGAACAATTAAATAGGCGGTAGCAGAACAACACTCTTCCACTAGCTGTGTTTCTTCAGTTAAACTGTCATACAGCAATAGGACAACAAACCCTTGTTCTTGACACCATATCAAGACCATAGCATACACAAACAACCCGCTATTTTTTTTTTTTATCCACAGCAACAGAGATGACATTCGCACGGTTGGTATACTTGGGCCACTTAAGTTCAGACTGAAATATTTTAGCAACTATTGGATGGATTGCAATAAAATATTGTGGAGACATTCGATGGTCCCCAGAGGATGAAGCCTAATGACTCTGGGGATCACTTTAACTTTTCCTTTTGTGCCATCATGAGGTGAGCATTTGTGCTTTTTAGGTGAAATGTTTCAAGAATTGTTGATGGATTTCGATGAAGTATATACAGATATACTTGTACCCTTCAGGATGAGATGTAGAACCTTAAGTGATCCCTTAACTTTTCTTCTAGCTCCATCTTGTCTTCCAGTCTTGTTTGAATGGATGCTTATTGCAGAATGTTCTGTCATCATCAGAAGGTTGCTCCAGATATATATCCGTGTCTGTACAGACTCCCAATAGTGCACCTCTGTGATTCTGCACCACCACAGACTCTCCAATGGATGTCAAGTCCGCTCACGCCAGCACTTTGCTAAATCCATTCACCAAATTAATTTCAGCTTTCTCGAGGGTGCATTATGCACATACAAGTGGCAATAAATTGTCCTAGCCTGCACCCGCTGGTTTACCAAATCAAGTCAATGCTATATTTACAGTACAGGCACACACTGATGAGATAGATACGAACTCCCCTTCAATAACAGCCTCCCCCTCTTTGTCTCAAGGTAATTGATTTACTCTCCACTGCACAGCCCACACCTAAATAAACTCATGTCTGACTCATTGATTAAACCTCGCTTCTGTCACCTTTTTGTTTTATTGTCCATTTTCATCGCACAATTGCTTTGAAGAGGGATCTCTCCCTGTTCTTTCACACCTCTCCCTCTCCTCACCAATCATCCACCCACTAACCATCATCTACGAGTCAGCTTTTGTGTGAGTAATTCACTTCCTTCTTTACTTTTTTGGTTTTATAATTTTTTTCAGCGTGGGTTTTGCAGACACTCCATGTGTTTTTATCAGGTACCGGATGTTGCCTCAAACGAGGGGCCCTTTGAGTTCTGTGTGACATCTGAGGGCAGAGCCTACTGTCTTTGAAGCTGTCTTAGGTATCATGTGATGGGGTATAGCAGGAACACACGGGGGAAAAGAACACAGGCCTTGTCAAGGTGCAGCACACGTCTTTCCACACTGAGCGGTTTGGTTTTCACTTCAATGATGTCTTCAATGATGGTTTGCAACTTGCATCTCATACCTGTTGAAGACAAATTGCTACCTGATTGTCAATTGGGTGCCGGTTTGTGTAACGAATACATATATTGTTAAAAAAAGAAAAGCAAAGAGGAATTGAGTTTTTCCTTTTTTACTTCAACAAGACTTCATCATCGACAGATACATCACCCAGTAGATGTTTACAGACATCTTCAAAAAAGGAAAATATGAATCAATATACATCCTGTAGATTAATAAATAGTTTGTCATGACATCAGTATGTACAGTCAGATTGATTTTTTTTTTTTTACCAGAGATACATTCTTCAGAGCCCGGACGCCATGTTTTGAAATCCAGTGCAGATTAGTGGAGGCTGCTGCGGTGATTTGGACTGCTAAAACCATCTGAGTGTAAAGCATTACAAAGCATCTATTTACAAGTTAAAGCAAGCACAATATCATCACTTCTACACGGTTCACTCATCCTCTGTGTCTAAAAGGGTGCATGATACACTTTACAAAATTAAATGACTTTTCCATCTAAAACATATTTAAAAAAGATATTCTTGTAGAATAGTGTTGTATAGGTTGGCACCTTTGGCATATTTGAGTGGTTCTATTTTGGTTTACACACCATCATGCACGGTAAAGTCACCCATGAAAATAATTTCCACTGGGCACCCATGCAATCTTTTTATTTGAAGCAATTTAAAATCTAACTTTTGGCAAATCAAGAAACAAGACGAGTGAGACATACATTACATAGAGCCTTTTTGATTTAACCACACTGAACACTTTCATGCCACAGAAGACTCCACAGGACAGCTAATACATTAGGCTGACTGCTATTGAACTTGTATGAAGGTGTGAGTGGGGAAAAATGAAAAAGTTACTTAAACTACGGTTTTCATCACTTGCCAGGGTGCACGTTGATTCAAGAAGCATAAGAAAAGTTGTCAAATCAGACAAATGTGCTACATGTGTTGAATGATTGGATCCTGTACCCACACAGCTGTAATCAACAGAAAAGGCCCTGTGCTGTATGTGGTACGAAGTTAACTGACATCAGCACACCTGAGATGGCTGAAATTAACAACCTCTCAATGGTGCAAAGTTCACAAGATTCGAGAAAGCTGAGGCATTTATGGCCACTTCAATGATTTTTTTTTACAGTCTCGCCAATCAGTTTTCTTTATCTAATGCACCAAACTGATACTTAATTGAATGACACCTTATCAAACACTCCTCTTGCAAGTAGCAAGTACCTGCGGCTTGAATGATGTTGATCATTTAACAATAATGCGGTATAATTACAAAAAATGTAGACATAATTATGCATTCTGTAAATTCACAAACAAATCTACTTGCTTTGTGGCTCCCATGAACCAAACTCTGCACTTCTGTGCAGCACAAAGCTACAGGAACATCAACTGTCTTCATTTCAGGGACTCTAACCAAACACCATTGGCTCTTCTTGGCAGCATCAACACATCTTGGACTTGCATTTACAAGATGCTGGGCATTCAGCAGGTCAAAAATGAATAAAAGTGAAATCTGCTCTCTCTAACAATTTACAGATAATCACATCAAAAACATGACAGCTGGCATACAACCCACACATGCAAATACTCTCTCTCTTTCAGACACACACACACACACACACCTACTCGCACACACACAGTCACTGCACTGCTGCCCCTCTGTGAAGGAGTACAGAGCAGTGCCACAAGTTCTACAGTGGTTTCTTTGTCATCCAGAGTATGAATACAATATAAGGCAATTGTAGTCTATTATATGTGTGCGTGTATACGGGCACGCGCGCCCACGTGTTATTCACATTTGGATCAATATAAGATCATCAGGCTGTGTATTTAGCACTCCACCAGTCATGCTTTTGAAACGCTGATGAGTGTGTTGTTGAACGAGCGGGCACTTGCTGAAATAATCCAACAAGAAAATGAACTGTTTGACAAAAATTTAAGTTCTATTGATGCATGTAGACAAAGTGGACAGAGGATTGTAAGCTTTTTGTGGCTCGCGCTTTTCTCTTACTGTTTTTTTTTTTTAGTCCAAGGGGCGCTCACATGATCAGAGAAGTTTTACTTCGGCCTGACAGAAATAATGACTCCGTGTTATCAATTTATGACTGGTAGTTTTTTCAAATCATATCCAGACACTTTGACAGTCACACATTTAGAAGCTGACTGTGGATTCCGTCCAGCCGTTCGAGCCGTCTCCCTTCATGCTGCTGGCTGTACGGCCTCGTGGCGGCTGACTGTCGGCCAGGCCGAAGAGGCGCGCAGCTGCGCCCCGGTATTTCCAGGACATGGTGTTATATAGGATGGGGTTGATGGCGGCACTCAGGTAGAAGAGAACCACAGACACCAAATTGCAGTATTCGGACAACACAGACAGCAGCGGGGACGGGGCGTCCAGAGAGCGAAAGTGCACGTAGCGACCCACATGGAACGGTAACCAGCACAGCACGAAGGCCAGCACCACCACCACTGGAGCAGGAGAGGAAGAAGATGAGTGAAGAGTGAAAATGAGAGGGTGGGGTGGAGAGAGGAGAGGGGCAGAACATTATTAAAATTGCTAACAAGCTTCAATCTAGTTGTTTTACAAAGAAAGGTAGTATGCGTGTGCGTAATCTGCGCGCTCTGCACACTTACCAAGCATCTTGATGGTCTGCCTGTTGCTTTTGTCCCGGTGAGACACACGGGAGCTGATGCTTGTCTCTCTATTTCTCTGCCACAACCGGCGGCCTATGAGGCTGTAGACCACTGTGAGGCAGAAGACCGGAATGAAGAAGAAAACAGAGTTCAACCACACCATGGCACCCATCAGGCCCGACTCCACTGCGTAGTGCGTCATCTTACACTCCCGAGTGTCCTCCAGGGAAAAGTCAGTCTCATTGATTCCCAAACTGAAATTTGGCCACATGCTGTCACGCTCCACTCCCACCATGACAAACACGGGTCCAGCGCTGAATAGCGACACTGTCCACAGCATAAGAATGAGAGCACGCACCCGCCTTTTGGTAACCAGGGCCTTGGCACGCAGCGGGAAGCAGATCGCCAGGTAGCGCTCCACTGACAGCGCGGTGATGCTCAGAATGGTGGAGTAGGTGGATGACTCTGACACGAACTGAAAGAGCTTACAGAGCACGGCCCCTAACCGCCAGGGCCTGTACCTCCACATCCGGTAGAGGTCCAATGGCATACAGAGGAAGATGAGCAGGTCTGATACGGCCATGCTACACAGGTACAGGTTGGTAGTAGTGCGCATGTCCCGGTACTTACTGACCACCAAAATGGTCATGACATTCCCGGTCACCCCGACTGGAAACAGCATAGTACAGGCGACGGTGATGACCGTGAGGAGAGGGATAGAGTAGTAATTGAGAGGAGGCAGGCCAAAGTCAGCGATCCCCGTGGCGTTGTGGGTCTCCTCCCAGCTACAGTTATCGGAGAGGCACTCCGAGAGATTGGGCCAAGAGGGCATGCTGTCGTCGCGCGGTTATTCAAGGGGCCGCGCCTGGCCCTCGCTGCTAGGCACCCCAGGTCTGGGACTTCTCACGGCCCTTGGCGCTGCCCCTTTCTCCCATCATCGGCTGCGGAGATGATACGTGAAAGGTTGGCAGCCGTGCGTAAAATCAAGATCCGCTTTGCATCTTTCGTAAAATCCTGTTTACAGTCAAGGTGAAAACGAGTCACAGTTCTGAGCGGACACGGAACTTCTGAGATTCCTCAGGGAGCAGAGAGTCGATCCTCTCCAGAGGCTTACACAAACAGGAGGCTATTGTAGGTCGATCCGAATCATCCACTTCATGTGCAACACGCACTCCAAAGTGGTCCAACAATGTTTTGTGCTGAAAGTACTTGTTCAAAAGAAGAGTAGACGTGTTGGGAACAAAACAAATTACATGCTGGATATTTGTGAGTTACACATCACCTACCGAAATTAATGCGAAAATGTATTCCAATCGAAACAGATGCAGCAGAAAAACAAAGGACAAACATCTGTCATCCAAAAATATATTTTTAAAATATATTTACACAAAAAAACTTAATGACAAGTTGTGTCCCGCGTCCTTTCTGTCAGTAAGAGCCACCAGCAGCTGCGTGCTTTGGATGAAATGAAACATGAGAATCCTTCATGCGCCAAAGAGTCCTAAAGAGTTCCCATCACCAGTAGCGCGTCTCTGTTTGCGCGTCAGACAAAAACAAAACAGTTGATCGGTAGACGAGTTGTGCCGGAGAGCATGTGATGGTGAGTCACAGTCAAGGTCGTAACGATGCGGTCAACATCTGTCCTGGAAAGGGCACCGGAGCTCAAACTCGTCCGAACACAAACGGATTAACAATAACTACAGTGAAAACAAATATGGTACGACGGAACGGAGACAGTTTTATAAAAGTCACAAGCACCAGGATGGAACGACACATTGTCAACAGTATCTCAAGTGGGACCACAAAGGATTTAAGTAGAATAAAGTAGTGGACAATGATAAAGAAATGTATCCCGGCTTTCCAAATCTGCTCCTCTGGTAACGGTGCGTATCCAGTGTGTGAATCCTGACTCCCAGTGTGCCAAACATCATATACAGGTGCAGTGGTGGTCAAGTGATGCGGGGGGAGGTTTGGGGGGGGGTCTACAGTCAGCCCAGTGCTGCAACGCCACCTACAGGTGCTTTAGTGCAGTGATATGGGGTCAATGCTCACCAGTTTAATAGGATCTGCTTACCACCAAGTCTGGCAGAGATCATATCGGGAAAGAAGGGTGACCTTTCTAAATGGTAGTCTGTCTTTGAGCTGATTCTGCAAGGTGAGTAACAAAATATATTTTTACCCACAGGGTTCAATTTGTCATCAGCATAACATAATGAGATCCTATCTCGCTTTTGCTCCTTTAAATGATCTGCATATTGAAATAATGTTCTTTAAAAGAACCATTAGGGGTTAAGGTTTAGAAAGCACAGTTAGTCTGATGCCCAGATTTAATTCAAAGCTCCAATTTGCTTTAAGAAACATTCAGTGTTTGGACAATGTCAAAGATGCAGGGAAGCAGGGAATGCAGCAAGGCCATTGTCCAAAGTAGCCTGTGTCCTTGTTTCTTTGATATTGTTCATGATCTTCAATGTGTAACCACATTAGATCATGTACATTTACTAGAGTCAGAGGCCCAGCAGCGGAAGGAACACCATGCTATCTCCACAAAGTCAACTTTGAGAAAATTCCACGTGTCAGACTGTAAGATTGACAAACATTGTTGTTGCCTATTTTCTGAATGGCTGAGGCCTAACCGGCGAAGCAAATGACCAATTTCAACTGTGAATCTCCTCATGTTTAGAGTTGCACAGATGATTGCCCTTTGCGCTGTTTGCCAACAGATACCATTGTGTTTATGACCACTGAATCATGATGCGAGAGAGAGAGAGAGAGAGAGAGAGAGAGACATGAGTAAATAGAGGAAGAGAGAACGGGAGAGATCCTATGGTAGTGAAAAGAACACCTATAAGCAGAACACTTGTCAGGAGTCTTGTGTCTTTCAGCCTCTGTGAGACCTTTTCATCACATCTGGTATGTATTCTATTGTCATACAATATGTGTCCTGACAGTATTGTGTGTGTGTGTGTGTGTCTGTGTGTGTGTGTGTGTGTGTGTGTGTGTGTTTGCGCATGCAAAAGTGTGTATTTGGCCTTTTTATAATATTCAGGAAAAAGCTCTGAACCTCGGACATCTGTATCGTGTAATCTAACAATATTTCAGTGGGCCTACGCTCTTAACAAGTGTGGTAATGACGATAATAGCAAAACAACATGCTGAAATAACCTCTATTTACTCAGAGAAAATTGGACTGTTTCCGGGACAACAGGAGGTAATAACAGCAACATTGGGTATTTTTACTGAGATGTTACGGCTGTATTTCAGTGTCAGGAGAGCTTTTCCTGTTTGGTCTTTTAATGGCTGTGAACTGCGTGTTGTGGTCTCCTGCAATACATTTGTTAGTGTTTGATATTTTTTATGATTTTATGTACATGCAATACATTTTTTCCACTTGACTGTTTCTGTCCTAATTCTCTATGGTTCATGTGGTTAAAGTAATTTTGTCATTTTGTCTGAACTATGCTTCCAGGGTGTGGTAGTGGAGTACGGGGTAAAGTCCCTGTCATGAAGATTGACAAACACATTTGGCAGCAACGTGTCTGTGTTTGGATCGTGAGGGAGGCAGTGCATCCCTTCATCCACAAGATGGAGGAAGAGATCTGATTTAATATAGTACAGACACCGTTGGATGTGTATGAGTATTTATTTGGGCCAAATGAATGAATGGTTTTGCAATACATGTGATATCAGGGGAACACACACATGTATGTATAGACACAGGTATGCACATCTACATCTAATGTTTGCTGTTCAGCAATCCACATGTTCTTTTTTGAACTTAAGAGCACAATCGATTTTTACCACTTATGTTTGAAGTGGTGAAATGTTTTGTCGTTTATGCAGATCAATAAAGGCTTAAAAAGACCCACATACATGCAAAGGCAGAGGTATAGACATGTTCATAAATGCACAGAGGTGGATTGACAGACACACACACACACACACACACACATATATATATATATATATATATACATATATATATATACATATAGCCAGAGACAGACATGCTAACATCCACAGACTATTTGGAAAGAAAAAAAGAAAAAAAACAGAGAGAAAGAAAGTGTGTGTGAAATGATGGGATCGTAGGCAGAACCAGTGTCAGTATTTCCTCCACCAGAGGACTCCTCCTACTTCACTAAAAGTCCAGAACTTTTTCCCCCTCCTATCCAATAAGAGAAGTCTGTGGGAGACACCCCTTGCCTGTGATTGGTCCAGAGTTTCACAGGCCCCTCCCTCACTGAGGAGTTGGAGTGAGTTGCCCTGTTAGTTTTTCTGAGCCACTCTTACTGAGTTACATAGCAGAAGTGAGCACTGGACTAGCTGTCTGCTGCTGCTGTACGGTTCTGTGTTTGCTCAGCTGGAGACCGGATCTTAGTGTTGCCGTTCCAGTCAGTCAAGACAAGTGGATTGATCAGACTTGTCCAACATGAGGGCTGCACGCCCACAAAAAGAGCAGGTTGGTAATGTCTCCCTCTGCTTGTCTCTATGTCAGCTCAGTTCTATTAGCGTCCATGGGCTGGGTGGGGGGGGATACGTGTCTCTGTGACACTCCTTGGGTTTGGGATCATGTAGGAGAATGTAGCATGCTTAAGGTTGTCGTTATGCTTACTGCTCCTGCACGTCTGCATCAGGGTCATAGCAAATATGTATTTAACATGGCAAGATGCAGCTGTGTCTGTTACTCTTGGCTCGGGGTGGGTGTGGAGATGAGTTCCTTGGTCATCCAGTTGATGGTGTTTACTTTTGATTATGAAATACTGCATCAAGTTGTGTGTTACCTGCTGTGTAAGACTGCACAGGTGTGTGTGTGTGTGTGTGTGTGTGTGTGTGTGTGTGTGTGT